GTACTCCCACTACAGTTGTTTAATTACATTTAGACCACACTGATTTACCATTCATGTCTGTTCTTAGCCAATTTAAAGTTCATGGTCTAACACTGTATTCACATGCTTAAAAAGATACTAAATTTCAATGTCTCTTCTTTACTTGTTAATACTCGCAAAATCCCAAATCTTGATGAACTAGACAATTCTTTTTACCAACACATATTCCAGGACATGGACATAGATGGAGAAAATTGTACAACCAGAAAGACTGAGACAATTTTTAAATAAAACCAATCTCTTAGCACTGACAGTCCTACTTTCTGATATGTCTGTTTCATATCTACTTTCTCTTCGTCCCTCCTGCCCCATATACTTTCTACCCTCACCACGCACTTGATAATCTAATCCAGTGGTTCTTAAAGTGTGGTACCTAGACCAGTAGCATGAACCTCATCTGGGAACTTGTTAGAAACGAAAATTCTGAAGTCGTACTTAAGACCTACCAAGTCAGAAACTCTGGCGATGGGGCCCAGCAATTTGTGTTTTAACAAGTCTTGCAAATTGATTCTGATGTCTGCAAAAGTTTGAGAACTACTGATCTAACCCCATACTTCACTGAGAAGCCATTCTCTAGAATGTAAGCTCCAGAGATGGGTTATTTTTGTTTTTTGTTTGTTTGTTTGTTTTAAAGATTTTATTTATTTAATTGACAGAGAGAGAGAGAGACAGCGAGAGAGGGAACACAAGCAGGGGGAGGGTCAGAGGGAGAAGCAGACTCCCTGCTGATCAGGGAGCCTGATGCGGGGCTTGATCCCAGGACCCTGGGATCATGACCTGAGCTGAAGGCAGTCGCTTAACCAACTGAGCCACCCAGGTGCCCTGTTTTTGTTTTAAGAGTATAGTTGACATACAGTGTTAGTTGCAGGTAAACCACACAGTGAGTCAACAATTATACATTAAGAAAAGCTTGCCACATATAGTAACCATACAACTTTAGTACAATATTATTGACTGTATTCCCAATGCTGTACTTTTCATCTCCATGACTTATTTTATAACTGGGAGTTTGTACCTTTTAATCCCCTTCACCTATTTTCCCCACCTCCCTCTCTACTGGCAACCACTAGTTTGTTCTTTGTATTTATGTCTATTTCTGTTGTATGTTCATTTGTTTTTTGGATCCCACATATAAGTGATATCATATGGTCCTTTTTTTGACTTATTTCACTTAGGTCCATCCATGTTATCGTGAATGACAGGATTTCATTCTTTTTTATAGCTAGTATTCCATTGTATATATACCATATCTTCTTTTTTTAAATTTTTTATTGTTATGTTAACCACCATACGTTACATCATTAGTTTTTGATGTAGTGTTCCATGGTTCATTGTTTGTGCATAACACCCAGTGCTCCACGCAGAATGTGCCCTCTTTAATACCCATCACCAGGCTAACCCGTCCCCCCACCCCCCTCCCCTCTATATACCACATCTTCTTTATCCTTTCATGTGGACAGACATTTAGGTTGTTTCCTTATGTTGGCTGTTGTAAATAGTGCTGCAACAAACATAAGGGTGCATGTATCTTTTTGAACTAGTGTTTTGGTTTTCTTTCGGTAAATACCCAGAGGTGGAATTACTAGGTTGTATGTTATCTCTAATTTTTGGAGGAACCTCCATGCTGTGTTCTATAGCAGCTGCACCAATTTACATTCTCACCAACAGTGTATGAGGAAGGGTTCCAGAGGCAGGCGTTTTTGTCTTTTATGGTCATTTATATCCTGAGCACCAGAACTGTGCCTGGAACACTGTAAGCCTCAATAAGTTATTGTTGACTCAACCCTTTAGATGGGAACTCTCTTACTTTCCTACTAAGAAATCTAGAAACATACCTGCATCTGTACCCATTTTCTTCCTTTCTTTTCCAACTGGTGAAATATGCCTCATGCTATCAAAGGTCAGCAATTTCCAGATATGTTTTGGATCTCTTCTCTTCTTGCCTTCTCAGGAACTTCACTCCTTTGGTCATCCCCTGTCTCCTGCATTATCTATCAGTCTTTCTCTACTAGATTATTTCATTTAGTATACAGATTCTACACCATTCTAAAATAAGAACAAGCTGTCCCTGTCCTCAAATGACCTTTTACTTGCTGCCACACCTCCTTGCCTCCCACTTACCCATTCTAATCTTATTTTCACCTCCACGAGTCAATGGTTCTTAACAAAGTCAATGATTTTTTAAACATCTTTATTGAGATATAATTCACATAGCATAAATTACCCATTTATTTATTTTTTGAGATTTTTTATTTATTTGACAGAGAGAGACACAGCGAGAGAGGGAACACAAGCAGGGGGAGTGGGAGAGGGAGAAGCAGGCTTCCCGCTGAGCAGGGAGCCCGATGCGGAGCTCGATCCCCGGACCCTGGGATCATGACCTGAACTGAAGGCAGATGCTGAACGACTGAGCCACCCAGGCGCCCCAAAAGTTACCCATTGAAAGTATACAATTCGGGGGTTTTAGTACATTCATAACTGTTTAACCATCACTACAGTCCAAGACTTAGCACATTTTCATCACTCCAGAAAGAAACCCTCCACCCACCAGCAGTTACTCCCTACCCACCTCACCCCTCTGCCTTAGGCTATTGCTACTGTACTCTGTTCCTGTAGATTTGCTTATTCTGGACTTTTTATATAAATGGAATCATAGAGTATGTGGTCTTTTGTGACTGGCTTCTATTACCATAATGTTTCCAAGGTTTATCTACATTGTAGCATGTATCAATACTTTATTCCTTTTATGGCTGAATAATAGTCCATTGTATGAATATACTGCTTTTATTTATCCATAATCAGTTGATGGATAGTTGGTTGTTTCTATTCTTTGGCTATTATGAATAATGGTGCTATGAACATTCATTCACATGTTTTTGTGTTGATGTATGTTTTTACTTCTCTTGGATATATACCTGTAAGGGGAATTGCTGGGCTATATAATAACTTCAACATCTTAAGGAACTGCTAAAGCAGCTGTACCAGATATCAGAAATATTGTTGTGGCCTGTTTTAGAAAAACAGTCTGCCATGTCTGTTCCTTTTTTAATTTAATTTTTTTATTTTAATTTTAATTTTTTTTAAGATTTTATTTTTTATGTATTTGACAGAGAGAGACATAGCGAGAGAGGGAACACAAGCAGAGGGAGTGGGAGTGGGAGAGGGAGAAGCGGGCTTCCTGCAGAGCAGGGAGCCTGATGCTGCAGGGCTCAATCCCAGGACCCTGTGCTCACGACCAGAGCTGAAGGCAGCTGCTTAACCGTCTGAGCCACCCAGGCGCCCCTGCCATGTCTGTTCTGGCCACACAATTCACATCCTTCACACATATAAAATACACCCCTTTGCCCCCCACCCCCCATAAGGTATCCCAAAGTTCCATCCCTTAATGGCCTCAGGCTTAGGCTGGAGGTTTAGGAACTCAGTGAGGTCAAGTGCAGGTGAGATTCCTTGGGTACAATTTCTTGATGAAAGCTCCTAATTCCACTTGATGTGAAAACGTGGTGACTAAAGAAGCAAACTACACCCTTCCCATAACTCCCCAGCATACAATGGTGAGGCATGAGATAACTTTCCTGTTCTAAAAGGGTTTGGAAAACAAGAGGCAATTCTCTTTTTATAATTTCTTCCTATATGATGTACTCTATTTCAGTAGTTTTAAATATCCTCCATACATTCATGACTTCCATATTTCCTAACATCTCTGAGCTCCACACTATTTAATAACTTTCACTTCATTTGATACCTTCTTTAGGATATTTCATAGATATTTCCAACTTAACATGCTAAAATTAATTCTTGTTTTCTTCTTTACCCTTTGCCTCCACAAACCTGTTCTTTTCCTGGTTTCTCCATCTAGGTGAATGATGCCACCATTCACCTAGTTGCTCAGACCAAAACCCAGGACTCAGCCTTAATTCTTTTCTCTTATCTCTATATTCCAATAATCAGCAAGTTCTGTATTTTCTTTCTTTAGAATATACTCACTTTTTTTTCAGTCTCACCTGGATTACAACAATCTCCTTATTGGCCATCCTCCTTCATTCTTGCCCCTTTCTGATTTCCTTTGGCACAGCAGTCAAAGTCATATTTTAATTAATATGTCTGGTTATGGCATGCTGTTGCTTACAATCTTCAGTGACTTTTTTTTAAAGATTTTATTTATTTATTTGACAGAGACACAGCGAGAGAGGGAACACAAGCAGGGGAGCAGCAGAGGGAGAGGGAGAAGCAGGTTCCCCACTGAACAGGGAGCCCGATGTGGGGCTCGATCCCAGGACCCTGGGACCATGACCTGAGCCGAAGGCAGACGCTTAACGACTGAGCCACCCAGGCGCCCCCTTCAGTGACTTTTCACTGCACTTTGAAATCCAAATTCCTTTCCATGATCTAAAAGGTTCATATAACTGGCAGTTGCCTGTCCTTCTGACTTTATTCCCTGCCATCTTTACTCTTTATCCACCATACTTCATCTTCTCTGGGCTTTTTTCAGTTCCTCACACATACGAAGCTCTCAGAAAGGATCTGTACACATGCTGTTTTCTCTGCCTGGAATATTCTCTCTCAACTTCCCACCCCACAGAACTGAATCTTTCTTATCCTTCAAGATAATGGATTCCTGACCATTCTAAGTAGGTACCCCCTCTATTATTCTCTATCACTATATCCTGTTTCTTTTATAAAACTTATCCCAATTTTAAGTTGTGTCCTGTTTGTTTACTTGTTTATCATCTGTCTCCCTAACTAGATTTTAAGCCCTACTGGGTCAGAGGCCATGTCTGTGTTGTTCAGTGTATACCCAGTGCCAAGGCAGAGTACGTAGCACATAATATGCACTCAGTAAATATGTGTTGAATAGTGTTTAAAGACATAATTTTGTTTTGAGACATATATGTTAATAATTGGTAATAATGTTAAATGTATTATTTCCTAGTTCTTACTGAAATAGCCCTTTTTTCTTTCAGTAATTGCCCTTCCTTTTTGGCTGCTGCTTTAGCCAGAGCCACAGCAGACAAAGTCCTTCAGAGTGACCTTTCTGCACATTATCTCCCAAAGGAAACAGATGGCACAGAAGGGACTGTGGGTGAGTACCTTTCCTATATCATTTGTTTAAAAATATTAAAATCTTCTCATGTGTAGTAACCTGCAGAGAATGTCTACACAATATGAAATCTAATTATGTTTACCCACTTGTTGATTTTATAGCGGTAGCAAGAGAAAAAAATGCGAGTATTTCAAACTGGTCAATAAAAGGAGGGGAAAAAAACAGATATATTTTGAAAATGTGATGACAGTTGGAGCAAGAGATTAACATAACAATATCATCAGAATACATTCTGATAATAATATCAGAATATTAACAGAATAAATAATGCCTAGGTAAGTGGAAAGAGTAAACTGAGAAGTGTGAAGACACAACAGAAAAGATGAGTGAGGGGAGAGAGTTTGAGCAAGACCTATTTAAAATATTTAGCTTACCTTTAAGAATCCAAGTAAAAAATCATATAAAAATTCAAGAAATCAGTTGTAACAAAACTTCTCATTAATTATATTAAGTTTTATTTCTACCAATAAATAAACAGAGTTCAACATGACAACTATTTAATGTGTGATTTAATTGCATGGATCACTGTACATCTTTTTTCCAGGCAAATTAAGAGGCTTTATTTATTTATTTATTTTTAAAGATTTTATTTATTTGAGAGAGAGCACAAGCAGGGGGAGTGGCAGGCAGTGGGAGAGGGAGAAGCAGGCTCCCCAAGGAGCAGGGAACCTGATGCGGGGCTTGATCCCAGGACCCTGGGATCATGACCTGAGCCAAAGGCAAATGCTTAACTGACTGAGCCTCCTAGGTGCCCCTAAGAGGCTTTATTTATTAATGAAGGCATATTTATTAACATATTAGGTTTATACATATTTGACAGGGTCTAAGGAGATAGCAATTGTAAAAATTAGGAATTACTACTCAAAATTGTTAAGGAATTTGAATATTTTACTTTATTTGTTCTATTTTAAGCATTTGCCTTTAAACATGGTGCATAAGGAACAAAGCATATATTAATGAATCAGAATAACTAGATCCCAGAGAACCTGAGGCAGATATAAAAGTAAATATATCTGTTCTTACTTTATCTTTCTAGATCATTTTTGACAGAAAATTGGCGAGAAAGGAATTCCTCCTCTTGTTTTTACTGAGAGTAATTGATTCAACTTGGAACCAAATTGTTCCAGAGTCAACTTGGATGGAATTCCTGCTACAAAGCTTTGGTCTTTCCTCTGGTACTGATGCATGAAGTGAAAGCCCTGTAATGAAAAGATGAGGGAGATGGAATTCTGCTTCACTGCAGCCTGGGTGGTGGCTGACTCAGCTCCAGCTCAGTACAGTGACATTAACGACTAATGAGTAATTTACAGCTGCGAGGGGGTGGATTGCTACTTCGGACAATTTTCTCTTTTTCACACCCTTTTTTATTTTATTTTTCCATTTCAAGCAGCAATTATTTATATACTGATGTTCCACACTCCCTGCAGAAGGAGAATACTTAACGTAGCCAGACTAAAGTGTAGCCCTGCATGCCTGCTTTGGAATTAAACCCCCATAAGATAGTAAAGTGAAATGATGGGTTTTTTGTTTTTTTTCTTTTGGTGGTATCATTGGTCATTCTGATTTTCTATTTTTTTTTTAAATTTTTTTATTGTTATGTTAATCACCATATATTACATCATTAGTTTTTGATTGATTTTCTATTTTTTTCAAGAGATTACCCAGTAGTGTCTCCTTGCCATGGCTGTGATTCAGAATGATCTATTGTAATTCTCACTCTTTGCAAGTCCTTAATCTATTTAACCCAAATCCCTCAGTGTCAGCTGCACTGAGGAGAATCTCTTCAGGACAGATTGTGTTTATCCATACATCAGAGTGGGAAATAAGCATACTGAATGAGGCCTGCCGTCACTGGTTTAAAGGCACTCAAGTCCCCACGGAACTCTCAGTTGTTTCCAAAAACTTTAAAAAAAAATCCTTAACCTAAAATTCTTTTCATGTTTATGTCATCCCTACCAGCAGAGTGTTTGCTAAACAACCTTGTGTATCTCTTGGTACAAATTTAGTTTGGCGAATATAACTCCTGTTCAGACAACCTAAAATCAATTTGAAATATCCCAATGTAAAAATTAAAAACAAGAAGGGGAAAATTATCACTAACACAGAGGAAGTTAAAAGAATTATGAAAACTTTGTGTAAATAAGTCTGAAAACCTGGGTATTTTCTAGAAAAATACAAATTACCTGAAAAGAAAGAGATTAAGATTGTCAAGGAGCTATCTTCTAAAAATGACAAAGAATAGGTGATTCTGGGGGCACCTGGGTGGCTCAGTCGTTCAGCGTCTGCCTTCAGCTCAGGTCATAATCCCAGGGTCCTGGGGTCGAGCCCCACATCTGGCTCTCTGCTCAGCGGGAAGCCTGCTTCTCCCTCTCCCACTCCCCCTGCTTGTGTTCCCTCTCTCGCTGTCTCTCTCTTCAAATAAATAAATAAAATCTTAAAAAAAAAAAAGAATAGGTGATTCTACAGGTGAACATTTTCAAATGAGCAAAGATAGACAATTCTAATGCTTTTTAAAATGAATTATCCAATTGCATATGGAAGGAAAATTTACAAAGCATAACACTGATAGGAAAACTTGCCTGAAATAAAACTAAAAAAGGAAATGAGAAATCAGTCTTAGTAATCAATGTAAAAAATCTTAAGTAAAATACCTGTATATTGAGTACAACAGTTCATTCATTCATTCATTTATTGAGGGCCTAACATAAGCTTAGCACCGTGCTGAGACCATAAACAAAACAAAATAATAGGAAGTCTGTTAGGATAATTTATATATTAAGGTCAAAAGAAAAACACCAGAATAATCTCAAAAGATGCCCAAAGAAGCATTTGATAAAATTCAATTATCCATTCCTATTTTAATACTTAATAATGTAGAACTAGATGAGTAGTATATCTTGGACTTTGTTGGACAAAATTTGGCTCAGACCAAAATCTAGCATGTATGCCTAATGCGTACTTAAGAATTTTTTGGTTGCAAGTGACCACTAACACAGCTCAAACTGGCTTTAGCAAAACAGAATTTATTGGCTACCCTTCAACATACGGGCTACACAGATTCAAGGCCTCAGATGATTCATCCCAACCTGGCATTTCTCCAAATCTCAGCTGTTTTTTTCTCTCTTTCTCTCTCTCTCTCCTCCCTCCCTCCCTCCCTTTCTTTCTTTCTTTTTTTTTTTTTTTCAAGTAGGCTCCACATTCAACATGGGGCTCAAACCCACGAGTCTGAGATCAAGAGTCACGTGCTCTACCGACTGAGCCAGCCAGGTGCCCCTCTTTAATTTTGATTTTATTTTCAGGCTCCATGTGGTGGCAAGATGACTGCTAGATCTGCCCAGGCTCAAATCAAGCAGGAAAGTAACAGTAACTTCACTCAGTTGCTCTTACATAAATTGCAGAATTCACTCTAACCAGCCCAGCTTGGATTATTTCCAATTCCTGAACAATCAGTATAGCCAGAGGAATGTGATTGTCTAATTAGCTAGACCTGAACTACGTCTTAGCCCTAGATGCACATGGACTGAGAGTAGAGAAGGAACCGTCTCTGTTAGAAAGAGGAATGTTTGCTAGGTGGCAAGTAACACATTAAAGCAAAGTTCTTACTCAAAATAGGAAATAAAGTAAAATAACTAGGAATAAATTCATTAAGAAGTATGAAGATCTTGGGGCACCTGGCTGGCTCATTTGTAAGAGTATGTGACTCTCTATCTCTGGGTTATGAGTTTGAGCCCCACATTGGGAATAGAGATTACTTAAAAAAAAAACAAACAACCCTACTGAGCAACATAAAAAGGACTTAAATTAATGAAACAATATAATTTGTTCCTGGATAAGACTCTAAAAAAAGACTTTTTTTTTTTTTTTTTTTGCAAATTGCTCTATAAATTCAAGGCAATCCCAAACACAATGGCAACAGATTTCCCCCCTCAAACTTGGCAAAATGAGAAAACTCATCTGGAAAAGTAAGCATGTCAAACTACCAAGTGACATCTTTTAAAATTAATATTAGGTAGGAAGGCTAATCCTCCTGATATGAAAAGATGTTATAAAGTTATAGTAATTATAAAATAATGGCACCACTGTAGAAATAGATGGCATGATTAGTGAAGTCTCTAGAATAGATGATAAAAAAGCATACATTTTTTAGTAGTTAATTTATATAAGTTTGCGTATTCATTTATTCAGTAAACATCCAATGAGCCCCTGCTATCTGCTAGGTACTGTACTATGACTAATCAAGTACAAGACACAATCTGTTTAATTTGGGAGATGTAGAGTATGGGTGTCAGAGTCAGATAGACCTGTGATTGAAAATGGTTTTACTTGTTTGTGAAATGTTCCAGAGAGAGAGGATGTAACAAACACTTAATAAATGTTATCTTTTGTTACAAAATGTGGCAAGAGCTATAGTAGATGGTGTAATGGGAACATAAGGGAAGAAGTAACTGGGAGGGGATAGGAACAGATCTACTGGTTTACTAAATATTAGAGGAAGCAGGTATTGCCTCCCCTAACCAATTTAATCAGTCTAACCAGTGCTACCCAATAGCACAATGATGGAAATGTTCTCTACCTGCGTTGTCCAGTGTGGTAGCCACTGGCCGTATGTAATTACTGAGCATTTGAAATACAGCCAATGTGACCCAAAAACAGAATTTTAGATTTTACTTAATTTTAATTAATTTAATGTTAAATGGCCACATGTAGCTAGTACTTACTGGGCGGTGCAGTTCTATATAGTAAGAGTAATATACACAGCCAAAGAATGATATAATGGTTTCTGTTATTTGGGAATCTGGGAACTAACCTGATAGTATCAGTTATTTGTTTCACCCCCACTCCATTCTCCCTCAATGTTTCCAAATTTACTTACTGTTTTGCATCCTCTGTTGTGATTGATGTGATCAAACTCACCCCTATGCTGCTACAAAGACCAGATGGCGTTGGAGTGATACAAACAGGTAATTGCTGGCTGAAAGAGATAGTCTCTGGCAACTGGTGCTTTAAAAAAATAAAGACTGGAGTTTTTCAAAACAATAAAAATACTGGCTTGTATTTTTCCCCTCTTATACACACGTCCTCAGGTTCCCCTCTTATACACACCTCCTCAGGTTGTATTTGCTCTCTGAACTTCCTTTCTCTTTCAAATATACCCTTGACTTTCTGTTACATAAAAACGTCAGGGGGGACAGAGCCAAAAACCATGGTTTACCAAACTTGTACTATGTTAATGAGAAAAAAGGCAACGAAAACCTTGAGATAAGCTTTCTGAATGTAGTCATTGTTGGAAGGATTTTGAATAAGAAAACAGGTAAATGTAGTGGCAGATTAAAGCAACAGCAGGGAAAGGAGTAGAAAAGTTCCTAGGCCATTCTAGAACAGTCACTCTCCTGTGGGGTCTATGTTCTAGATCAGAGGAGTCACGTGCAGCCATTGCCCTTTCTGGTACACGTTTTCTCAGGCTGTCAAGCTAGATCTGATTTAGTAAAGTAAAAAAAAAAAAAAAAAATTCTTAAAGAATTCTAAATCTTTTTACCTGAGATGTAGGAATCTCTAAAATACTGGCTTGAGAAAAACTTAAATCTCCCCCTGATTATTTAATAGCTGCAACTTGAGTAGAGGACAGCTGGAGCCGGGGTGATGTGAGATATAATCTCTTCAACACTATTCAGTGTTGCCTAAAAGGTTTACACATCTGTCCATCCATCGAGAGATGCAAGTCAGCCTCCGAAGTCAGCTCATCTACTCCACTTGATGGGTCAAATAGTAGACTTAACAGTCTAGGGTGAAGAATCCTCTGGTTGCCATCTCCTTTGTTCTATCCAGGGTTACACCCATAGACAGAGTTTAAGTACTTTTTTCCTTAGAGACTTTTAAAACTTTTAAAAAACTTTTACCTCATTTGTTAACCTTTTAGCTAAACTATTTAAGCTATTGCCAAAAACTTTAATTAAAAAATTCATCAAATAAGAAAAATATAATTTAGTTCCAAATTCTGATCATTTACAGGAGAGAAAAGTTAGGGAACTGGATGGAGGGAGATAAAGGAAGAGGCCAGGAAAAAAAAGACAAAGACAAATGGTAATCACAATAAACTCTCATTCCTGTAGTTGGTAAATAAATGATGTTTTCATAGGCCTTTCATATCCCAATCGGCTGGATAACTACTGTTCATATTTCATTTTTTTTTAATTAATTTATTTGACAGAGAGAGGGAACACAAGCAGAGGGGGTGGGAGAGGGAGAAGCAGGCTTCCTGCGTAGCAGGGAGCCCAATGCGGGGCTTGATCCCAGGACCCTGGGATCATGAGCTGAGCTGAAGGCAGACGCTTAACCAAGTGGGCCACCCAGGCGCCCCTTCAGTCATTCTTCTAAGCAGGGGGAGCTTGGCTCTCCAGATGATAATCATGGCCGCCAACCAAAAGGGAACCAGTGCTCTGAACTAGATAGCAGTGGTTGGAGAACTTTGAGGGTTGGAAGGAATCTAGTCTAAGAGTAGATTCAATCCTGGCCAGAGGTTTTCTCCTCATGACATAAGAATATCATAGTGGCAGCTGCTGGCTGATGATTTTCTACTAGACTGGTTGTCATTTTCTCTCTTCAGAATCAACATTTCATTTCTCTTCAGGAGGAATTTCTTCTATTAAGGAGGAACTTGATGAAGGTGACCTACTTCTGTCTTTACCAAGCAGGCAAGTGAAAAGCAGCTTTACAAGGCTCTTCATTGGGGGTGTCTGTGTTTCTTTCACAGAGATCGAAACAATGAAATTGGCCCGTTCTGTCTTCAGCAAACTACACGAGATTTGCTGCAGCTGGGTGAAAGACTTCCCTCTCCACAGGAGACCCCAGCTTTATTATGAGACATCAATCCATGCCATCAAAAACATGCGCAGGAAAATGGAAGACAAACACGTCTGCATTCCTGACTTTAATATGCTCTTCAATCTAGAGGTAAAGGGCCCTTCTCTAGAGTCAATGAGATTTAAAAAACAAACACCTTCATGATCTTATTTTTCTATAAGGAGAACTTCTAATGTACCTCTAATAGCATCTCTGATGGTTTGGAATAGGACTAAAGGCAGAGTGGCATAAATCTGCTTGTATTAGACAACAGAAAAGAAATTTATGTTATTTTGTTTTTTTTTTTAAAGAATTTATTTGAGAGAGAGAGAATGAGAGAGAGAGAGCACGAGAGGGAAGAGGGTCAGAGGGAGAAGCAGGCCCCCCGCTGAGCAGGGAGCCCGATGTGGGACTCGATCCCGGGACTCCAGGATCATGACCTGAGCCGAAGGCAGTCGCTTAACCAACTGAGCCACCCAGGCGCCCGAAAACTTATGTTATTTTGGTTTATTTATTTTTAAGTAAGCTCTATGCCCAATGTGGGGCTTGAACTCAAACCCCGAGATCAGGAGTCACATGCTGTACAGACTAAGCCAGCCAGGCACCCCGATTTTATATTATTTGAATAGGTAATGCATTCACATTGTTCAGATTGGAAAACAAAAATCTCTCTCTTATCCTTGTGTCTCAGATGCTCAGTTCCCTTCCGTGAAGGCAAGGGAAGTTACCAATTTTTTTTGCATAAACTTCCAGAGCTATTCTATAAACATAGAAGCATAAAAGAAAACTGCCATATCTCAATAAAGCTGTTTTTTTAAAAGGAAACTACAGTAAAATTAGATGGTGTTTATTAAGTTCCCACATTACTATGTTGCTGAAGCAACATAAAATGTAAACATAAAAGGATGAATTTAAGACAGAGACAGTTTTCTGATTTCCAGTGATTCTCTTTTTTAAATCTTGGTTTCTGAGATAGAAAGTAGATGGAATTACATTTCATGAATCTCTGTGACTGACACATTGGATCATATGAGTCTTGTCAGCTTAATAACCATTTTCTTGTTATCTTCATCTTTTTTCTATTAATTGTATTCTGTTAGTGCCAACAGAGGTAGGTTTGTTTCCCCTGCCTGTCACTTGCCTCTTTTCTTCATTCAAGTCCATAACTTAAAAATTACAATGTAGTAATTTATACAAAGCACAGTATTTCCTTTATTTAGCAGCTAAATTTAAATTTTAGCTAACTGTCAAGGTCTGATAAGCAGTGATGGTAGGTTGGTAATTGGTGCTTATGTTACAAAGATAGACCAGCTTTGTTTCCAAATATCTTTAGAATATGTGAATATGCTTATTTCCAAATGTTACCATGCCCATGCAGATATAACCTTAAATGTTAACCTTAATGTGACAAACAATCCTTCTATCACTACACCCACTTGAAGATTATACTCCGATCTGAGGGCATTGTTGCTATTTGTTGACCTGGTTGATTTTCATTTTGCTTCAAAATCAGCCCAAAGGCCTAACTCAGAAAGGAACACCTTGAGAAACGGTTTTGAAGGCAATTTGGCAACACATACTTAGAACCTTGTATATTTTCACCACCTCTGATCTGGTAATTTCACTTTTAATTTTATATTATAAGGACACAAATGCAGGAAATTCTTATATGTTTTGACATAAATGTCTTACATAACATTTTCAATAATAAACTAGAAATGATCAAAGTCATATATAGGGAGCAACTATAATATGCTCATTAGATGTATAGTACATATCCATTTCAAATGTGTAATAATGACATGGGGGAAATGCTAATGATATGATAAATGACAAAAAGCAGGATATAAAATTTTATGTATAGTATGATCTTAATTTTATCTAAAAAATTTATATATATAGAAAAAAGACTGGTTATCTGTGAATGGTGGGATAATATATAGATTTTTCTTTATTAGTCCAAATAAACAATATATTATCTTTATAACAGGGAAAACTTTTTTTTTTTAATTTAAAAAGGTATACTAATTTTTTTAAGAGATCCCCTTGGCTGTCTTCTGTTTCTCTGGATGCTATATTGTTTAAGAATCTCCCCACCAATCTCACATTGTTTAAAGCTATACTCTCATGGCCTCAGAAAGGTATTATTGTCCCCTCCTTTTTTGTGATGATCCCACATCAGCTCACTCATTTAAAAACTGCTTGGATATGCTATTTTTCAATTTTACCTTTATCTTGCCAACTGAGTTGTTTAAAAGTGAGTACTGCTTTAGTACAGGTAGAAATTCTACATATCAGGACTTTTTTTCAAGATAGTTCTGTTTAATCAGTCAATTTTCAATGGCATTATAGATGGTATTATTAACTAGTTGTAATGTCTGTATTAGATGTTGATTTCATAATATTTGGGTGTTTTTACCCTATGGACATTTATATTTGGTACTTAGTACACCCTTTAAAAAGAATTTTTTTCTGGAACACCTGGGTGGCTCGGTTGGGCGTATGCCTTCAGCTTGGGTCATGATCCCAGGGTCCTGGTATCGAGTCCCACATTGGGCTCCCCAGTCGGTGGGGAGAGTGCTTCTCCCTCTGCCTGCCGCTTCCCCCTGCTTGTGTTCTCTCTCCCTTTCTCTGGCAAATGAATAAATAAAATCTTCAAAAAAATTTTTTTTGAAAATTTGAAAAAATACTCAAAAAAATTTTTTTTAAAGATTTTATTTACTTGAGAGAGAGAGAGAGGAGCAGGGGGAGAGGAACAAGCAGACACTGTGCTGAGTGCAGAGCCCGAGACGGGGTTTGATCCCAACACCCTGAGATCATGACCTGAGCCAAATCAGGAGTCAGTACTTAACCAACTGAGCCACCCAGGCATGCCTAAAAATAATTTTTTCAAAACACAGATGATACCTGTTGTTTTAGTAGTTCCTCCAAATCCGTACCTAATAGATGAGAGAAAAAGCACAAGAAAATTGTATGATTTACTTTGTATATTTGATTTCCTTTGAATGACAGGGCCTAGACTCATCTGAGCTCCTAGAGCCCACCGATCAAGTCAGAGCTTGCACATGAAAATGATTACATACTGTTGCCTAAAGGGAGTCCAGGACTCAAGTGAGTTCAGTGAGCTACAGATCTCCTAAGTAAGCTAGATCTGAGATGTACACACTGGCGTTGAAGATAAAGAAGCAAACTACTTAATGGCTTAAATGTAATATTGTGATTAGGCTTCCTTTGTCAAGATAGATCCTCTTCTGGCAGTGCTTCAAGTAGTGGGTGGGCCAGGAAGGGTGACGCTAAATCTTGGTTAGGGGACAAGGCAAAATGGGTACAAGGCATTTGGATATCTGATTTGCTCTAAGTTTGGCTAACCAGTTTAGAGACTGTGTTATTTATGGTGAGTATCCAATGTGACTATGATTTATGAAGATATTACAGCTTAGGAGCCTGTGTATGCTTTCGTTATCTCTATTTTTAAACAACCTAACATAACTGGTCTTGTGCTGAAGGCCAGTTATTTCCTATTGTTCTCAGTTTCTAATTTTATTAGAATACTTTCATTTTGAAAAAAATACTCAATCCAGAACAGCTTTTACTCAATTCCTCCTCATACTTTCTCTTTCCTCCCCCTTCCCACAACTTGTAACAGCAGTTTTGAAGCCACTGCATGTGGGCGGTTTCCATGGTACAAGACGGCAACTTTCAGTGAGAGGGCACTTCAGCCTGAGCTAATTGGCCACAATGTGTTCCAGTGTTCTCTGTGTAAACACAGATACCCCAGTGCTGCAGGTATTTTAGCAGGTGATCAGGCATGTCAAAAAAGAGAAACATCTAGTCTCATTGTCTAGGTGACAAGTGCAGTGGAGGAGGAGAATGGGCATCATCAGTACAACGGATTGGTTCCTTTGAGTCATGCTGTACCTCACTTCCTTAACTGTTTGTTTTTCTATCAACAGGACCAGGAAGAACAAGCCTACTTTGCAGTGTTTGATGGCCATGGGGGAGTGGATGCTGCCATTTATGCCTCCATTCACCTGCACGTTAATTTAGTCCGCCAGGAGATGTTCCCCCACGATCCTGCTGAGGCCCTGTGCCGGGCCTTCCGGGTCACTGATGAGCGGTTTGTGCAGAAAGCAGCCAGGGAGGTATGCCATTTCCTCATAAATTCCAGCCACGAATGCACTAGCTGAACTCAACTTGGTCCGTGGTTCGTGGGTTATTTTGGGTTTTCTCTTTTGGGGCAGGCATTATTTAAAGTTCTTTCAGGCTGTATTCTTGACCCATGATATTGGATTCTGTTATAGTTCTAATTCCATCTTAAGGGTTTTAGTGGGGTGATATGATGTGCTGTAGAGAAACTCCAAAGTTATAATTTTCTAGAAAGCCAGTCCATTGCTGGATTTGGCAGGTGAGTTTTAGCTTTTTTATTTACCAGTGCCTGTCAGCTTCACACCAGGACCATCTCTCTAAGCAGACTTTTGCTGACAAAATCTGGATACAGTGATTAAAACAATGGACTAAAAAGGAAACAGAAGCTGGATTACTCCCATACGTTTGGTTCTAAGTGGGTTGGCAGTGTTTTACTGTGTATCTCTTGAGGGAAAATTTGCTTGGAGAGTGAATCCTTAGATGATTCTTGAACTGATTTTACAGGAAGAAAAGTCAGAGCTCATGTCCTAATTTCTTAAGGTTAATCAGACCTAAGGTTTTTACTGTGAATGAATGACAGGGGCTCTATATTAAGATCTAAAAGTAAAAATTTTAATCTAATTATCATTCTGGGCATTGGTATATGATTAACTACAGTACTCTATATTCATTTTTAACTGGGGGCCAATAGCAAGATAATAATTTTTAATTTTTAATTTTTAAAAGTAACTACAGAATTATTATACATATAAAAAATAAGACTCCTGCCCTATGAATTAAACATTAACTGTTTTTGAAAAGGATTTGGAAGGAGTAGGGTCATCATTTAATCCATTTCTTTGATTTCATTGTTATGCTACACAAAAGTAGTGGTGCTTGGAATCAATGAAACAGTAATTCAGAACTACTTGGTATTAAGCAAGGAAAATATTGTTTCCCCACCTTTACCCCAGGTTTAGTTTAGTATGCAAATCCAACAACAGTGACCACTAGGGTCTACCTACAGAGGTGGGCCTAGAAAACAATACAGTTGTCAACCTCAGACTGTCCCCAGAGTCTTGAGGGCTGGCACTGCTCAGCTCTGCCTACCTTGGAGCTACTGGCTGTCGTCATTTTGACCAAGGCCAAGACCTGGCCCCTGAGAGTGATCTGTAAGATCACAGAAACTAAGAGAATCACTTTGTCTTCTTCTTCTGTTCCATTCCTTTTTCCTCTGTGTCCTCAAAAGTATGGCTTTTTTCTCTGACCATGTTCACCTCATTTGCTTTGCCAGTGATCCTAGTGTCTCTCAGTCTTGCCAATAGTTCTTTTGAATAATTTAGGTTTGTCTCAGCAGTTACTTTTTTCCTTCTTCTGCTCCCATGTGCTGCTAACTGCTGGGAAGAAAGGAGCTATTCCTGTTGTGAAGCAGCCCTGCCTCCTGTTCTCTGCAGGGCATATGCACTCGAGTGTCTTTATCATGTGTTCCAGGGGGCTGAGGTTTTGAACATTCTGGGTGGGAAGACATTTTATTGGTGGGTGAGGATCTATAACAAACTTTCCCTATATAGGAAAAATGAGAAGTTGTTTTTCTCATTGGATACAAGGGGCCTTTTACCATCCTTGACGCATTGGTTCTAATTTAGGACAAGTCCTTGGTAACAGAAAGTCATGCTTATTTGGTGGTGACTCATGTCAAATGGAGATGTCATTTAATGTAGTAGTATCAGGAGCATGAAGTACACTGCTACTGAGCTACTGCAGTGAAGCTCCAGGCTGTTCTTTATGCAATGTTCCAAAAGCAGAGGCCCCTAAAATTATTGTAGGTGATTTTTTTTTTTTTTTAAGTATAAGCAACTTAGCATGCCAGGGAATATACGTTATCTCTTGGCTCCTATCTTAATACTGAGTGTGGGAGCATTTGTTGTATACCTATCAGATCCTTTGTAATGCTAGGACCTTCCCCTTGTACATACTCTAGGTCAGTGACAAAACAGAGACCAGAACATGGAAATCTTTAAGGACTGCTGTAGTGGATTGAATGCTGGACTGGGAGAAAAAAGAATTTCAGTTCTGTTTTGTGTACTAATGAGTTACCCGCTCTTGGAAAGGTCACATAACCTGCCACAGTTTTCTTATTTGTACATAAAATGAAATGAATAATCATTCCTGCCTTGCATATCATAGATAACATGGATCTATGTGTATACACATACATCTATGCACATAAAAATGCAGAGAGACAGGAATTGCTGTTTGTTGTGAAATTGAGTTACTAATAGTTAGACCCCAACTAAAAGTCTGTGTTGCTTCTCAATGAGAATTTGAAGTCTCTTTATTTTTACTGACTCTAGTTTTATTTAATTACTTTTAGAGTTTAAGATGTGGGACCACAGGAGTAGTGACTTTCATCAGAGGGAACATGCTCCATGTGGCCTGGGTTGGGGATTCCCAGGTCATGCTCGTGAGAAAAGGGCAAGCGGTTGAGCTAATGAAGCCACACAAACCGGACAGGGAGGTAAGTGCGCTCCGTTGTGGGAGGGCACGTGCCACGGAGGCGGGTTTCTAGCTAGTAGTTAATATTCACTTGCTTATTCTGATTACCACCGTTATCTGAGCAACCATGCCCACCTTACAGAGGAGGAATAAAGAGAACCTTTCCTGGAAGCTGATGAGTATTGTACCTGTTGTTTACTGTTAAGGTAGACAAATAAATCCTGAATCCAATTATTTGCTTCTTTCTATTGCATTGCTGTTTAGGATGAAAAGCAGCGAATTGAGGCTCTTGGAGGTTGTGTAGTCTGGTTTGGTGCCTGGAGGGTGAATGGAAGTCTGTCGGTCTCCCGAGCTATTGGTAGGAAAAACCATTTCCTTTTTGTTTCTCCGAACTGTCCTCCCCTAGCTCATTGTCTCATACTAATTCTGCTACAATAAAGGAACCTGAGATGGTAATTTATATTATCAGAGTGCTTATTATTGTTTAAAGTAACAATTAGATAATGCCTCTTTTAATTAACCTATTCATTTATATACTTAAATTCCATTACTGAAAGGGAACTATATTAAGAAATGCAGAGCTTACTAGTTTTGTTTTTTTTTAATGGAAGCCTTTAATTTTTGGGACACAAATCTGCTTAAAACTACAGTGATCCTCATTTCATTCCATTTTGGATCATATTTAACTTAACTTAGTATTTTCAAGAGAATGGAAGGCTCCCCTCCCTATATTTTACCTTGTTTATATCTTTGTTTTCACTGAATTATAAAATGACATAAACATTGTACTTTTTAGATGAAAAAAATTTTTTTTAATGTGGAATATAGTGATTTGTCAGATAACCCTACGGTTTCAAAGAATCTGCCTCCCTGGGACCTAAATTTTTCAAGAGAAGGGAAAGTCAGTGTAACTGTCTAAAACTTAGTAAACAGCTGACCTGATTGGACAAAATGCAAGGGTGTAAGTTCAAAGATAGTCCTGTTTCTATTTTTGTTTCACTTTGGCACCTGGGTTTATTATATTTTAGGCTTTGTGGCTTAGCTTCATTTCTGGTTTTTTAAAAAGAATAAATCAGTGTGTGTGTATCTTTATGGGTGATATGCATGCATACTACAGTTCTTCATTCCTGCCTCCTAAAGAAATTAAATGAAGTAATTTGACATAGGAATAATATGGATAAATGGAATTCACATGTAATCCCCCAGTTTTGCTTATCGTTACCAAAATCTCAAAGGATTGATTCAGTTTCACCAGTGACAGGAGTTCCTCCCACTCTTTGGGAAGGTGCTAGCAAGCTGTGAAGTGGCCCAAATGTGAGTAGCAGAAGGCTGAGAGAGAGCGCAAAAGCTGAAAGATCCTGCAAGTGCTTCTGAAAAAATGAGGGTTAGTTTTTATCTCAGATTGAGAGAGTTATTAGGAACTCTGGAATAAGACCCCAGAGGGGAAATTTCTCATTTCTGAAACACACCCCTGTGTAGAATTATTTGACAATTCCTCTTGATCTTACAGTCTTTGTCAGAGTATCGAAAAGGATCTTTAATGCTTGTCATAGAACCAACTTTACTAGAGAATACTTGCCTTTTCTTGCTTCTAAAAATATAACACAAGGGGAAACTAAAAGCAAGGGGAGAATGTCCTTGAATAAGAGATGGTCTAAGAGAGAATGTGGCAGACTCTATAGAGAAAGTGACTTTTAGGTTGGATGTGGAGGACAGTGTGTAGGGGAGGAAATTCCAGGGGGAGGAGAATATAAATACATGGGCATCTGAAAAGGCACGCCATGTTTTAGGAACAGTAGAATGTACAAGAGGCGAGGGCAGAGGGTAGGAGTGATCAAAATAAGTGTGGCGCCAGACTGTGAAGGGGCTTATATAGCCAGGCTAAGTAGTCTAGACTCTTACCAGGTGAATAAGCCGAGAGGCCACATGATTCAGACTTATAAGGTATTTGTGATGATGGTATGGGAGACAGACTGGAGTAGAAAGCCTAGGTGAGATCATTCAGGGGCTGTTGATATAGTCTGTTACAGAGATGAGGGCAACTCAGAAGGGATACAGAGGATGTATGAATTGATCAGAAGTGACAGTTTCTGGGGGCAGAGAAAAGCTGATTTCCAGGTTTTTGACTTAAGTGACCGAGATGATAAAGCATTTGTAAAAAAGCAGCAGCAGTTTGTGGGGTGGGGAGGAGGGCAGATAATGAGTTCATTTTGGACATATTTTATATTCTAGATACCTGTGTGATATTTTAGGAGACAGAATTGATATGCAGCTGGAAATACAGATCTGGAGCTGAGCAGAATTCTGAGTTGCAGATAAGAGATGTGGGAACTCATCCCATTTTGGCAATAATATTAGCAATCTGTGAAGTGATATTATATATAGTAGTTGAAATTATAGGTTCGGACAGTATTGCCCAGGAAAAATATGTAGTGTGATGAGAGACCAAGGATGAGACGCATTACTTAAGGTAGAAATACACAATGAAGTCATGCCTCTAGGTTTGTGTGGCTCTGTCACTTTACAAGCTGTGGGCCTTGGGAAATTAATTTCTTTGTGTCTATCTGTTCCTTGGTAAAGTAAGAATAGTAACATTAAATGGCTCATGGAGTTTTTGTATTAAATGGTATAATACATGCACCACACTTAGAGCCCTGCCTGGCAGTTTTAGCACAAAATGATTAGTGCTATTATTAAGTGAAGGAGCCAGTGAAGAAAATCAAGAAGGGATCAGAGATATACACGTGGGGTATCACAGATACTAGAAGAGGGTTTCTAGGAGTAAGTGGTCACAGGGTCAAGTGCTAGGAGAGGTCAAGTGAGACGTGGGTTAAAAAAAGACATGGAATTTTGAAAACCGGAACTAATTGGTAATATATGAGAGAAATGTTTTGGATGAGTAGATGGAAAAAAAACCCAGAAAATCAGGTGACAGAAAATGAGTAACAACACAAAAGAACATGTATAGATTTAGTTTCTTGGGCAATTTAGTGGTAAAGGAAATAGTGTGGTGGCCTGAGGGAAAAGCTGATTTGGGAAAGGGTCACTTTTGTTATTTTTGATGTTAGGCTAACGAGTTTAGATCAGAGTATGTTTGTAGGATAAAAGATGAGAGCAAGTAGAAGAGAAATTGAAGATGAGAGTGACAGAAGCCAGAGTCCTACAGAGTCAGGTCCCAGAGCACAGGTGAGCTTTGAGGAGGAAATGGAGACCTCTACTCCTGACACAATAGTAGCTGATGTGGTGAATCTCTCTTGATGAAAACAAAAGGGCCGGGGAGGGGGGGCGGGGGGCGGGTAGAAGGGGAAGGAATTCAGGCCTGATAAACTTAATTTTCTTTGAAGTGGGAAATTAGGCCATCTACCGAAATCCAGTAGCTTAATTGGAAGAGAGAGGTGAAGAATGTGAGAATAAAATCGGGGGCTAAACAGGGACAAGAAAAAGGACTCCTGAGCAGAGTTCAACTCTACTTAGAAATTAAGTGACACTTAAAGCTTTCAAAATGAAAAGCTTTTCAACTGTTTCTCCTCATGAGCCCTTCAGATTTATGATCCAAAGTTGACAGGGAGGCATGATATGTTTCCTAGCATATGGAGAGAGGAGGTTGAAATGATTGAAAATGATTATCCATTTTCACCATGAAATGGATAATCATGCCCTCCTACCAAATTTGGGGGCGAAATGTCATGAATTTGACATCCAACAGTAGAGCAGGTGAAAAGCCAGAATTTTGGCAGCATTTTCCCTGTGCAAATCTTTGTATGTTCTGTTCCAAACTAACAGTTGCAGTAGCCTTTTAATTGAAGCACTAAAACAAGATTTTTGGGAACAGTATGACTCAGATCACATTTATTTTTAGAGCTGGAATTCAGAAAATAATAATGATGATAATAATAGTCAGGTGGAGTAGGGGATGGGGAAATTTAGTAAAGCAGATTGGTGGAGAACACTGAATCTCATGACTGGAAGTTTTACCTGATGCCTCCCAGTAGCCTGTAAGAGCTAAAGTATGAAATTGATGGAATCAAAACCATGTTTGAGGGAAGATGGTTCTGGCAACTGTATGAAAAAGACTAGTTTCTTATCTAGTATCTTGTTGTTCAGTGTGTCCCACACCAGTTCTAGCAGTTGTCTCTAGGGTGCCTATTGAGTTTTCTGGGCCTATTGGAGGATTAAACAGGGATGGGAAGTGTTGGAGAGAACCTTATGTGGGTAGGAGAGAAACTAGAACAGGTGATGACAGAGCCAGATAACTTATGTATAATTATTTTCATTTTATCATCCCCTAGTCCAAAAGCAGTTTTAGTACTGTAGAGAGGACAGTAACTGATGAGGGTCTCTAAGTAACAAATGCTAGGATTTGGATCCAGGCAGTCTGACTCCAGTGCTGGCATCCTTAACCACTAAGCTGTATGTCATTACTTTACAAATGATAAAACATTTTATAAATTTTAACTACTGTTTCTCAATTATGGTACCCTAATCTAGGAATTATTGCTAAATACTGTTTTCTATGTAAAGCAGTAGTAAACGAGTATCCCTTGTTGTATTAATAAGCTATATGGTTACCCAAGAGGCTAGGGACCCCTTGGCTAGGCTCTCTCCAAGTACCCAGAGGAAAACAACGAATGTAGAGTGAATGGATCGGGAAGTGCTCCAGATCTGAAAAGATCCAGAATGCATTGCAGATGATTAATTTTCTCCATAGTCTGGTGATAGACTGGGGAGACCTTGAGCCCACACTAGGCTAGGTTTCTATCTCCACTCCAAGGACCCCATATAAAGCTACACATTACTGCTTCATAGTTGCCTCTGTGCCTTGCTTATGCTAATTCCTTCAACCGAGGGCCAGCCCTTCTCTACCTGGTGATAACTAACTTACCCTTCAAGACCCGGCTCAAATGTCATTCATAAGTGCATGAACTAAACAAAGAAGAAATAATGACCCAGTAGGGCCTTGGGGGTTCTCACAGTTGTTCACAAGTGGAGAATGAACAACAGCAATAAAGACGGTGGGGGTTCGATCAGAGACAAATGAAGACAGCAAGAATATGGTAGTCCCTGAAGAGGAGAGAAATGTGGCCATACATTTTCCAGTTGTTCTCTAGAAGTTACAAGTAAAAGCAGCATTAAAAAGTAGAAAGCAAACTGGATTGGGAATCAAGAGACTAACATTCTAGTTCTCTTGTCTGAATCTTGGGATGACTTTTCCCAGCTTGAGGGGAGTTGGACTTGACTTTTTAAAAATCCCTTGTAACTCAAACCTTTCTCTGTGCTAGCAGCATAAAGCTATTAATTTGAAAACAAGGACAGAAAATTAAGTATTTAATGAAAAGAATGACCACAACTTTGGTTTGTTTTTCAATGTGGACTTGTTCTCAAATCTCAATTAAATCAAACTTTACTAGTAAAAAAAAAAAAAAAAAAAAAAATTAGATCTGTTAACCAACAAAATTTTCCTACGTAACACTGAATTTTTCAGTGCAGCAAAAAACTTAGATTTGACATTTGTTGCCATGCTCAGCTAAGCCTAAATCATAGCTAGTGGCACAAGATTCAGAGTGTAAGCTAGTGAGAAATTAAGCCCAGTGAATGGCAATTATTTAACTAAGTAAGGAGTGAGCAGCATCTGATTAACAAAGAATTCAAGTATTTTATCTGAAACTAGTTTATAAATTCCTTCCAGTAAATTCAGATCACAATCCAATAAATTGTGATCAGTCACAGCATTGGCCATAAACATTCTTACATGCAAGGTAAACCAAAATCTGACCTCCTTTCTAATTCCCACAGGAGACGCTGAACATAAGCCATATATCTGTGGGGATGCAGATTCTGCCTCAACTGTTTTGGATGGGACTGAAGACTACCTCATTCTGGCCTGTGATGGCTTCTATGACACCGTGAATCCTGATGAGGCAGTCAAAGTTGTATCTGACCACCTGAAGGAGAATAATGGAGACAGTAGCATGGTTGCCCACAAATTAGTTGCATCAGCTCGTGATGCTGGGTCAAGTGATAACATCACTGTTATTGTGGTATTCCTGAGGGACATGAACAAAGCTGTAAATGTTAGTGAGGAATCAGATTGGACAGAGAACTCTTTTCAAGGAGGGCAAGAAGATGGTGGGGATGATAAGGAGAATCATGGAGAGTGCAAACGCCCTTGGCCGCAGCACCAGTGCTCAGCACCAGCCGATCTAGGCTATGATGGGCGCGTGGATTCATTCACTGATAGAACTAGCCTGAGCCCAGGGTCCCAAATCAACGTGCTGGAAGACCCGGGCTACCTAGATCTCACACAAATAGAAGCAAGCAAACCTCACAGTGCCCAGTTTTTGCCACCAATTGAGATGTTTGGTCCTGGTGCACCAAAGAAAGCAAATTCTATTAATGAGCTAATAATGGAGAAAAAATCAGTTCAATCATCATTGCCTGAACAGAGTGGTGCTGGAGAGTTTCCCTCTTTTAATTTGGGTTCAACAGGGCAGCAGATATACAGAATGGAGAGCTTGTCTCCTGTCTGTCCTAGGTTGGAAGAGGAACAGTTCAAATTCCTGGGAAAGAGAGTTTCCAGATTGTCTCATTTACGCTATCGTTATTCAAAGAGACGGCACGGATTCAGGTTTAATCCAAAGTTGTATTCATTTATGTCTGCTCAAGAGCCTTCCCGCAAAATAGGCACTAGTCTCTCCTCACTTATTCGAAGTGGGAAGAGAACTAGGTTGTTCAGAAGTTTTCTGCCGTGGAGGCAAAATATTTGGAAAGGATATAGTGCAAACATGATGAGGAAGCTCGGAAAGAGTAACGATACTCCAGATCCAGGCCTTCCCTCGAGCTACAAAATATAAAACTTCCCCTTTAAAGTAGGCTAGCTAGCTCTCCTCCAATAAAAACACCACCGTCAGAGTAGAAACAAGGTAGACATTTCTGAAATATATGTGCTTCATTATGAAACCATGGATGGCTCAATTCTTAAATGTAAATACATCTCTAGGAAACTCAAAGTAGTGTTTTCAATCTAAAACAAAAAAAAGTACTGGCGGTTTCACTAGCAAAATTATACAACTGGTCCCTGTGATGTGTCTCCACACCTACATACAACTCCCACTTACTACCCCTTCACATCACTAGTGGAAGTTTGTGAGTTATTTTAGTCAGGATATCTAGTGTTGAAGTCTCAATGCAGGTGAAATCTGGTTTAATGTGCCTAATATATCTATGGAAAACTTAAAGCAGAATCAGATGTAGTTGGGGGATGTTCCTCAAAAGACTGGGGACTATGAGGGAAACCCTCCTCTCTTTTTTCATTTGGTAAAAGACTAAAAGCCATATGGGTTTTAATTGGTTACAATGAAAGTAGAAAACTAGCATAAAAGTGTCATATTTTCTGCCTTGTGAGGTGGTATATAATCAAAAAGACTGATTTTTTTTCCTGTAACATAAAAGATAAAAATTTTCTGAATTAAAAAGTACTTCCTAGGGCTGTGTAGCTATTTGGGAGTTTCATAACCTGTTATGGTGCTTTTGGTGGGATTTTTATTATTTGTTATTTTAGAAGACCGCTGTCAACTGGTTTTAACCTATGATGCTGTTTTTCACTGTACCTTCATCTCAGGAACAAAACTGGTTTAATGGAGATGATGTTAGGTACAAATATACTAGAATCAAGTTGCCATTTAAAAAAGAAAAATCAAATAGTATTTCTATTTTTTCTGCCTTTTTTTTCCCCCTTAAGTTAACAGACAGCAAAGGCATATACTACTACAAAATAAAAAGTGGTTTTGGAGAATGAAAAATACTGGTTTTAACTTCTCTAAAATTGTTTCTCCCAAGGGAATGAAATAACTGGTGTGAAAGAGGTTGAAAGTACTGCCTAAAGTGAGCCCAGAGGCCAAGTGCAAAGGAGAAGGCAGGTAAACGGAGACTGAGGTCTATTTAGTTAGGAATGGAGAAAGCTCCACAGTCCTGCTCCATGCCACTTCAGACTGCAGAGAGGATGTCTTTCTCATTTCAATACTTACATTTGATAATTTGAAGTTGTCTGCTTTTTGCCGTTCTGTAGTTTCAAGCTACAAGCGTATCTTCAACTAAAGACAGCAAATAAACTCGTAATCAGATTCAGTCAGTGAAGCAGCCTCTGATTCTCTTGAGAATCATGAATATCACCACATGACCTCCTTCCCTCCCCTAGTCAACTGTGGACCAGCCATGCCAATGGATAGGAGCTGCCCCTCACTCACTCCACTTGGCGGGGGGGGGATGGACCAAATGCTCTTGCCAAGAAACGTCCACTGCCTGTGTTTTTACAAAATAATACAATTACTTTATGTTCCCCAGACCCATAATGGAAACTCAGATTCCTAGGCTTTAAAACTAAAAGACCACAGCATGTTCTGGACGCCAGTGTAGCTACGGCAAATACACAAAAACTTCACTTCACCAATGATCAGATTAATCCGTACATTTTATTTTTAAGAATTTGGGTGTAAGTAGAGATTTTCAATATTTCTCGTGATTTTGAAGTCATTTATTCTTTTTCTCAAGTCTTGTGACACATGGCTGAGAAGGAGGGAATAAATGTGGCTCTGAATATAGTACCAGAATCTTTTCACCAACCTGATGTTTGACCCTCATACACGGACCTCACTCACATCTGTCATTTTCTGAAGCCTAGATCTTGTTAACAACCCATCAGATGCAGTGTCAGTTTCAAATCAAATTATCTAAGGAAACAAGAAAACAGGCAGCAGAATATTGGTACACATTATAATCCAAAGCACTTATTGAAATTAAACAGTTTTTTAAAGATTTTCTATAGTTGTCCATTGCTACTATTTTTGAGCAGAATAAAGAAGGTGAAAGGAAAGATACAAATGATAGGTTTTTTTCAGTGGGGAAAAATGGTTGGATAAAACTCAGATGAACACAGACCACACATCCTTAAGGGTCTGAATTTTGTAGATCTGACTATATAAGCAGTGTTAATTCCATTTTTCATACCAGTAGCCCTCTAGAAAACAAAGCAAAGTAGTTCTAGTGTGGTCAACTTATAAACCAATATTGTGAAAAATAGCAACTATTCATTTGTTCACAACGTGCATATTTATAGAGTAGTTAGGTACCATTTGTAAGGTAAGTCCTTTAAAATTCTATAATATTAAAAAGTAGTGGTTATTGGTATGATACATGCTGCTCTTGGTTCTATAAACTAGGTAAAAAGCAGTGCTTTGTGAAATGCAGTGTTATATCTTAATGCCACTGGTGATAGAAAGTAGTTCCCTTCAGTTCAAATCCTGTGCCCTTATTTGCTGCTTGCTAATGTAAGCAATAAGTACCCCTCTAACTAATGGTATCTACACATTCTGTAACTTGTATTTAATGATGGTGTATCTGGTGATTGTAAAAATATTAGACAGTATAAAAGTATATATAATATATATTAACTGTTAATGCTGAGGTAATAGTCTGTGAATTACGTGTTTTGTACTTTTACTAATTGTGTAATTTAGTGGTGGTGAAAATCCTACACTCAATCCTTAAGAGTGACGGTATCCCTTTTTCAATTTAACATGATCTGCATCAATTTGTTTGCCTGCTAAAGTGTTGTTAGAAATAGGAAATAGTAAAACAAATATAAACAAGAAAGTGTAGTACTCGTTAGGGAAAAAGACTTCAAGTTACCAAATGAAGTCATTACAAACTCCTTGTACATTCACTGTGAGTTTCAAAGGGAATCAGTCCCTAACTTAAAGGTTTCCTTTGTTCACTTTCTAGATGTGTACTTTTGAGGGATATCTGAGGTTTAGCAACATTACAGCACCAAACACTGGGGCAATTAATCCCACTCATATCTGTGCTAAAGAGGATGGTGGAAACACATATGTATATACCTTTTCTTTACCTAGAAGTGCCATCCACTGTCCTTGAGTTAATAAGATTAAAGTTTCTGTTGCATTTAACTAGGAGGATCCTTGAAAGTAACACCTTTTCCAAGGACAATGTCAACAATGTTAATGTCAACACTGAGTCTGATTCTGACCACATTTATAGTGGTATAATGTCAACGTGGTAGTATAGTGTCACGCCGCATCTTCATGACAACCATACTCCATTGTTGGAACACTGTGCCAGTAAGAAATGCAACATCTGATGGGCAGATGAAAATGATGCATAAAGAAGTTCAGTGTTTACAGATAAAACTGCTGTGGTTCAAGTACTTCCTTCCCCATCAAAGGCTTGCCAAGGCTTTGTGAGAAAGTGATTTGTAAATTATTATTTTAGTGTTTAAATACAATGTATTCACTTGATGACCATTCTCACCTACGCAAGGCCATAAAGGGGGATGCTATAGCTTTGGTCACATCATCGTTTCGGACAATTTTTCTTTGAATCATAAATTAGCAAAAGAACATACTTTTTTCACCTTTTAAAATCCTGTCATGTTAATGGACAAATTACTCACCCTTCTGTTCTAACCTGTGAATAGCCTAAATGTTTTTTTTTTTTTCAAAATAAGATACCGCCAGTATTATCACATGACTATTTTCCAGACAAATGGTACTGTTTTGAAAAATAATTGTTACTTCATCTAGCAACATTTTATCTTCTATTTTGAAGACTACTTATTGTACTAATTAGAAAAAGCAAATAAAAACAGGAACTCCAGACTGATACAGCAGTTGTTCTGGAAAAGGAAATACTCTAATAAACTCTGATGTATGAGATAATCCGCAGATACATCATTGTTAACTCTTACTCTAGGTGCTCTTTGGTGAGAGACAGGCTTTGTTCCCTTGTTCATGACATTTCTCTGCAAAGAATTCTCTATGGAGTGAAGCGAATGAAGTGAATCATTTCTTACCAAGTATATTTATTAATTTACAGACCTGCTCTACAGCTCACTTTTGAGTTCAGTTGTAATCATGAGTGATCCTTCATATTTTATTTATTAAAACTGTTCATTCAGGTAAGATGTATGTTGAAATTTTGCCAATACCTTAATAAAACCCAGCAATTTAAAACCATGAGTCGTTTGTTTTTTTATTCAAAGGAAAGATAATTTACTTAGTGCTAAGGTTAATTATTGCAATGATGAACCTCAAACCAAGCACAACTCCTAACCTAGATTAATTCAGACTCTGCAATGCAAGTCTAAGCTGGAGGAAAGACCTGCCCATTTTCAGGTGTAAAAACAATTCAAACGATCTACTGCCCTATACAAGATGTCACTTTCAACAAAATATATAAAGCCATATGAAAACAAAAAATGTGTTCTGAAGACAGAAGACTCCAGAAGACATCAGAACCCAGACTCCAACCCTTAATAGCCAGAGCCATCTTGAGAAACAACAACAAAGCTGGAAGTATCACAATCCCAGATTTCAAGATATACTCTAAAGCTGTAGTAATCAAAACAGTATGGTACTGGCACAAAAACAGACCTAGTCATCAGTGGAACAGAATAGAGAGAGCCCAGAAACCCACAAGGTCAACCTATGATGAAGGGTAAAAGTACACAAAAAGTCAGTCTCTTCAATAAATGGTGGTAGGAAAAATGGACCACACTCTTAACATGATATGCAAAAATAAACTCAAAATGGATGAAATACCTAAATGTGAGACCTGAAACCAAAGATGATTTCATTTATATGTGGAATCTAAAAACAAAAAGCAGAAACAGACCCATAGATACAGAGAACTGATGGCTGCCAGAGAAGGTAGTAGGGGCATGGGTGAAAGGGAGTGGGAGATACAGGCTTCCAGTTAAGGAATGAATAAGTCACAGGGACGAAAGGTACAGCGTAAGTAATACAATCAGTTTTGGTATTGTAATAGTGTTTTATGGTGACAGATGGTAGCTGTCACTTGGGGGCATTGCATACTGTATACAGATGTTGAATCACTATGTTGTGTATCAACTATAAGTCAAAGAAAAAATACACAACTCTGAAAAAAAAAAAAAAAAGAACCAGATTCTGTTATGAAAATGGTGGACAACATATGTAAGATCTTACGGGTGATTTCAGCAAAGAGAAACTATAAATAGAAGTGCTAGAAATGGAAAATAACAAAGATGATGAATGCTTCGGATTGGCTAATCAGTGGACTGTACGTGGCCGAGGAGAGAATCACCTAAAACTAAGATAAATCAACGTAAATTACCCTAACTGAAAAAGGCGTGTGCATGCACATGTGTGCACAGATACACAGTGAAGGGAAAACAAAGACACACTCAGAACAGAACATATAAGAGCTGTGGAACAATATCAGCCTAACATATGCATAACTGGAATCCTAGAAGGAGCAGAGAAAGAGAACTGGGCAGAAGGAATATTTGAATGATGGCCGAGAATTTCTGAAAATTTAATGACAGACCTCAAACTGTAGATCTAGGAACCTTAGAGAATACAGAGCAGGAAAAATACCAAAAACACACACCTAGGAAAAAGAAATCTCTTCCAGATGGTTTCACTGGTAAATTCTACCAAATGTTAAAAATAACACATTCTATACATTCTCTTCAGAAAAAGATTTTGTAAGGTCAGCATTACTCTGATACCAAATCAGATGAAGACAGAAAAACTAAACTATAGACCAGTATCCCTCATGAATATAGGTGGCAGAAATCCTCAGCAAAATATCAGCAAAACCAGTATCACTTATTAGATAAAAATTAAAAAAATGCTGACAGTAGCAAGTGTTTATAAGATGCAGCTAGAACGCTTATAATTTGCTGGTGATGTAAAATGGCAGTGCCACATCTAGAAAAGTTCAGCAGTTTCTTATAAAGTGAAGCAGTACATACCACATAACTCACTGAGATGAGTTCTGACATTAACTACCTGGAGTCAGGCCAAATTTCACAGTTTAAGGGCAAAGTCCTCTCACTTCAAACACCAGTTGCCAAGTTTGGGGGTCCCCAGCCCACCCTCATTTCTGACAAATTGACTACAAATTTGGGGGTTCCCACCATCCCCTCAGGTTTGAAAGTTTGCTAGAACAACTCACAAAGCTCAGGGAAATACTCTACTTACAATTACAGTTTTATTATACAAAAGGACAAACATTAAAACCAGGCAAAAGAAAGGACACACAGAGTGAAGTCTAGGAGAGTACACATGTGAAGGTTCCTTGTGATCAGAGCATTTTGATGTTCTGATGAACAGAGCATGTTGTTCCTCCTGAAACAACAATGGATGACAATGCAGAATACTGCCTACCAGGGAAGCTTATTTGAGCTTCAGTATCCAGAGGTTTTACTGGGGTTTCATAAGGTGAGTGTGCCGGACTCACTGGCAATGAGGCTGGACTATTCAGGCTGATATGAAGTGACTGTAGCCCCAATCCTCTAATCCCATGATTAGTCTTTCTGTGTGCCAGCCCCCCACCGCCATCCTGAGTTATCTCATTAGCATAAGCTGTCAGGACCCACCATAAATAACAAAGACACTTCTACCATTCCGGAAATTCCAAGGACTAAGAGATTATATCC